AATCTCGATCCAGCAGCATGGTCAACATCTCTAACGGCATGAATTTTCATAGTTAGATGACCCGTCAGAGGCTTGCGCATGTTGGGGGCATTCAAACTATCATCTAACAAAAACATTAGTAAATCAGACGTAAGAAAAGACCATGAAGCATAGGGAAAGTATCTAACCATCTGGGTGGTCCGATGCACTCTCGATATCAACGTGAAGGTCCTCATATCGCTTCAAGGCCTGTTTTAGGAGCTGGATCTTTTGGTTGCTCTCGATTCGTCTGCCTTCTGCATCTGCTCGACTTTTTCGATCGCCCTCATCTTGATAGAGCCGCACCATCTTCTCGATACCAGCTTTATACTGTTTCTCAACACTCAATTTGAACTCAAGCTGTGACAGCATAAGCTGGATCTTGGGCCCAAGATACGGAGTATCATATTTGATCAAATCTATAAAACCAATGTCAGTCAGTAAAACAGTTAAAATAAATAGATGAATAAAAGAGTAATAACAAAGCTGGAAACCAGGCCCTGAAAAAAAAAATTACTAACCTAACTTGCTGAAATTTGGACGTGCCTTGGGCACGGAGGCGTCTGGACGAGGGTCGTGGAAAGGCGCCCGGGGAGGCATCATGCCTGTTCCACCCTGACTGTAGCCTCCCGGGCCAACATCGCCGTAGCCGCCTTGATCACCACCACGGTACGAGGAGCCGGCGTCCTTTGGGGGTAAGGGCGGGCCTTCACCAGACCCTCGCGTCGCGGTAGGAGAAGTATTCCCACGGCCCATCTTTCGAAGCTGAAGCTCTTGCATCTTCTCCTCGAGATAAGCAATGTTCTTCCGTCCATCCCGTATGTTGGCGTCCACTCGCTGCTGTACAAGCGGGTTATCAGTGGACTGTCTCATGTTTGTCGCGGCCGCAATGAGGGCCTTCTCCCGATCGATCTTGCGATACACGGTGGCGATGAGCTCGTCGTCGCCCTCCATGTTTGTGGTTTTGAGCGAGGAGACAGCTTTATAGTCGTGTCTGATAAGTTTGTAGCACTCGTCTGAGTTGCTAGTTCAGCTAATATAGGACAAACTGTATACTCGCAGTGCGTGTTGTGGTCCTGTGTCTCGGGGTGCGGGGGGTTAGGATAGCGAACAGGGCCGCCGAAAAGCCCGGGGGAACGCAAGCGAGCTGCTCAACCAGATCAGCTAGGGACCATGAAAAATGAAAACTGTACAATTTACAATTGCCTGGAGGAGGGGATCCGTGTTTGAGACGGAGATCATGCGCTTCTAGCGGGTGTCATGTATCCCCAGCGGTCGTGCAAGAGGAGTGCTCGAGTGACGTTTTGTATGTAACTGGACAACACCAACGGAGCGACTGGCCTCTACGACGGCACTGCGAGAGAAGAGCGTTGTGCAGCGATGCCAGCTGCTGTTCCCGCGGTCAAGTAGTGAAACAGTAAAGGGAGAGATGGTCGAGTTACGCCTGCTGGTGACTCTCAGGTGGTCATCTCGAGGTCGTGAGGGTTGGGTTGACGCTGGGTGGTTTTTTCTGCCTTCGTCCCTTTAGTTTAGTTCAGTTACTTAGTTAACTTAGGCAGGGAGGGGAACAAAAGAGCCGCAATATTTTCGTGGTGGGGAGTGGAAAAGAGTTGCTGGTTTTACGCTGAAAGCCACACGGCCTGTTAATTATGATATATACGAAATATTGTGAAGCGCATATCAATAAATATATATATACACCTTTTGTTTTCATCCCTGTCTAGACATCTATGGGATGTGGCTGTCGAGTGGTGAGGTTGTATGTTGGCTTCTACGGTAGGGCTGCTGCTGCTCAACCCCTGAATAAATTCAGCAAGTCGCCCTACTGCGGTAATCTGTCCATCTGCAAGCCCTATAGTAAACAAATACATATAAAATATTGCACTACGATTTGGGATGGTAAAACCACTGTCCATCATAACCTGATACCAGGTAGGAGAGACTTGAGACTTGAGAATATGTGTCCAGAAGTTACCAAGCAAACGGCAGCACGGATACTGTTTACTGTGCCATCTCGGTTCCACCCAGCAAGCAAGAAGAATGATCAGCGAGTTAGCGAGATAACTAGCGAGACTTCGGCAGCTTCATCCTCACTCAAGCAAAGCGCTCCCCTTTTCCGTCTTTCATATCTGGGTGCGTTAATACACAGGCCACTCGACGGAGTAGATCGATTGACAGGGAATTTGCGGGAGCAAAGAATACTCTCTGCGAAGAAGCCGATATGTATGGAACCGTCTCAGTGACATGGACATATGTCTCGGAACTTGTGCCGCTGCAGAGGGGGAAAAGCAACCATAGAAAGCTGATCTCCCTTCTGTGTACTCCGTACTGTACTCCAATGGATGTACTCCGTATGACCAAGTAGAAATCGTGCTAGAAAGTCTTCCGCACCCGCAGTAGCATCCATCACCGTCCAGATAAAGGCCTTCTTACTTTCTCCTAGGCACAACCGCTTGTTATTTCTATCAACTTCTATGTTCTTCCGCTTCGTCTTCGTCTTCTTGTTCCCCCTTAATAACAAAAGAAAAAGTAGAAAAGTCTTGGCGTTGTATTGTTTATCCACGTGACCACACAAGTGAGCAAAAGTTGTTGGTCATTTGAATATATCTGGTCGATCTCTAGAAAACCAACTGAAGGTACTCCGTAACAGACTTGATATCGGTCGGAAATATGGGTAAGCCGAGGAGGAAGATGTTGGCCACGGCCGAAGAGACGCTCTATCCGCCGCCCGCACTCGAGGAAGGACAGACAATCGCTAGGGTCGTCAAGGCAACAGGAAACAACATATACTCCGTCGAGCTGCCGTCGAAGGAGTCGATATTGGTGGAACTTCCAGCTCGTTTCCGTTCTACCATCTGGATGAAGAGAGGCACCTTTGTCGTCGTCGATTCCACCGCGTTAGAGGAGCGAGATAACAAACTCTCTGGCGAGATTGTGAACATAGTTAGGGACGATAAGGCGTGGAGAAAAGCTGATTTCTGGTTCGTCATCAACTTGTAACCCTTATAGATCAACTAGAGTGCTAATGTAGTATCACTTGTAGGCCGAAGGAGTTTGTGAAGAAAATTGTCGAGGACAGTGATGACGAGGAATCCACCGTTGGAAAGCTTCCCCCCTCGGACGACGAAGAAGTGTGATGGTCGCCCGTTAATTTCGACCGTCGACAGGATCTTTGGCCTCGCTTTTGAGTCTGGCCGGTCTTTCGTCTTCAACTTGTTTCCCCCAGAAAACAGCCATGACTTGAAGTGCAAGACAGCCCACTACCGTCATCGAGCTTGCGTTTGTGCTAGGATAGACATTCCATGCCCATTCCTGCGCGGCCCATAGGACAAACATAAGAACTGGGTGGAGGCCGCTTTTCCACAGTACCAGGGGGGATACCCACGCAAGATATGCATAGAATTGGTAGTGCAAACTCCGTGCACAGAGCAGACCGATAACCATGGATGTCATCAAGGTTGTAGCAACATAAGAGCTTGATATGTTGCATTGCAGGCTTCGTCCACGGAATGCTTGCTGTACCAGAGATCCAAGGTTCTTGTTTGCAGGGCGGATCCAGACAAATCCCAGGAAAGTCACCAGCAAAGATATATGCACCGCTAGTAATGCGACTGAGAAGGGCCTAGACAAGAATAACTCTTCCCCGACGAACCGCCAATTCACGGTCCATTTGAACAGGAATTGTCGAGTAAACTCAAATGCCCTTGAGATGTAACCCGTCGGGTTCTCTAGAAGGAAGGGCAACCCAAGCAAGACCTAGAACAGAATAAATTTAGTCATCTACTTCAATAATGTATTCTCTAGATGTGTAGAGGATAATCAAACGGAACATACCTGTAACAAGACGGAAAACACACCCATCCCTAGCGCTGGTCCAAATCCCACGGCAAATGTAAGGATAATCGCAATTGCAGGAGCAACAAGCAGTCCTGTCATCTTGATACTTACGCTCAGCGTCCATAGCAGAACAGCGGCATACCACTGTTTTTGAAGCATCATGTACATCGCGGCCCAGACGAAACCCACAGCAGGGCCGTCATTAAACATCCGCAGCATAAATATACTGTGTAGTCTTTTTGAAAGCACAAGAAGAGGGTATACATACGGCGGAGCACGCACTGTTCTATAACATGCCATAACAATCGCCAAGAATATAAGATATAGAACAGCGAACAGCGCCTGCGCAAGCGGTATGTCACGCCCCTCGTCCGTCACGTTATACAAAGCGGTATAAGTGTATACATGGCCGGCAGGGTAAACGAGAGGTCCCGTAGATCCTTTAATAGCTGTGTAGTCTCGTTCACCGGAAAGGTATAATTGTATGTGTTGCATGTAGGTAGACCAGTCGATTTCAGTGTCTGGTTTGGACAGCTATTAGTTGGCCGGGTACGTAGAGAGATCGTGGAGTTTTCCCAATGACGAAGAATCCAGTACCTACATGGCACTTTGAAAATGATAGCAGCACATAGGCATGCATCGAACGCTAGCAGTAGCGGGCAAATCCATCTTGAGTGTTTGGGGTTTGTGAGAAGATCCAGCGCGGTGGTGTATAGCCGGTTCATAGTGAGGGCTGGCGAGAGCGCGATATACGTGGAGTGTTCTGTGTCAGAGTAAATTGCCTGTTTTCATAGCTTGTAGAGCCAACTAAACTCCAATTGACGTGGTAGTACTGAGTATTGCCGTGGATGGTCAACGGTCTTGGTTTTTATCAGGATGATCGCGTCAACACAAAAACTCAAAGCTTATAATAACTTCTTTTATGCTTAACTAACTAGTTGGACCCATATCAAAATATTTATTGTGTTGAAAGTCACAAACACTATAATAGTTATTCTTTTACTACAGCTTCTGATCTTCTGATAGCAGTGGAAGATCTTTAACTACCTAGGTAAGCCGTGCAGTTGAGTTGCTCAAAGTACTACATTTCGGATGCAAGCGATTTTTCAGTTATACCATCGGCGCTTGGAGAGTAGAATGCTAATTATTATAGATAAGGGTATATATCGTTTAACATGTCAATCACACATACATAAACGTCATAAGGAAAACATAGAAAAGTGGCTCTTAATAGTATGTTCAAGGAAGTTCGTGAATTATCGTTCTAGGTTCTGCTGGGAGTTCGACCACCCTACCACCTCCTTCAAGCTCTGCAGAAGGCCCGTGACTATCACCGTCCAGTTCTACTCTCTGGCTAGTAGAAGCTGGTTCGAGCTCTGCTGGATGCATGCCGCTTCTGTACGGAGGCGTCCCCCGTGGGGTATACTCAGGGACGGGCATATGGCTATCACTGCCGCTCAATTCCATTCTACCCTTGGGTAGAGGGATGTTGTTGTCGTGTTCTACCCAGGACTTTGACTTCGGTTCGACGCCCACAACCTCAATGATCAGCCGATACCGCTTGTGCAGTCTCTTCTCTTCCTTCTTGTCGATTTCTCCGCTACCCTCGCTATCCTGTGAGCGATCTTTCCCTTTCCCTTTTTTCTTCGTACCAAAAGACATGAAGGAATCAAAAGTTCCGCTGCTGAATTTGGAGCCTTCTTTCGTCTTTTTCCTGGGGAGGGCCAATCTGACGTAGATTCCTCTAGTTTTGAAAGCAGTGCTGTTCCAGCGTTTTAAAACAGTGACCAATTCACCTTCCTCTTGCAGGTAGTCCTTGACTTTGGTCTCGATTGACATGGCATTGACAGCTTTCCCAGCATAGTAGCCTGGAGCAGCACCAAATACCAGCAAAGGTACCGCGCTTACAAGGCCAACGCTTATCCCAACAGTCCAGGCGGCAATTTTCTCTGATGTGGTGAGCGCAAAGGCCTCTACCATCTCGTCACTGAACTGTTTCCATTCAGCGGGGGGTACATTGTTCTCGAATAAGCGCTGGTGGTATAGGAACCCAGACTCGACAGTAGACTTGATTGTTGGAACTTCGAAAATGTTCGGATTTGACTCTGAGAACGTTCCTGGGGTAGAGACCGAAGGTGACGTCGGCGATGACGAAGACTTAGACGTTGGCGATATGGGCTTTGGCGACTGACATCGACGTGGCTGAGTCTTTCCACTTATGGACTCGTCACTTCACGCAAATATTGTTAATCTCGTAGTCAAAGAATGGACAGCCATTGTTATCGAACAATGCTAATAAGAGTGACACTAACTCCGATGATCCTCGATCTGGCTGCGAAGTGGAAATTCCCACCTCCTGCCATCCGTATCCCACATCAGCGACATTCTCCGTAGATATTACACTTGGCGGGTGATATCTGGCTTACCTTCCCTTCCATTGTGTATGGGTTGGCTGTTTGTTACTCGTTTTACGAGTTAAACAGCGAGTTCAGGTATATGTTAATGCCGGGGTGATAACTCGCTACTCCACGGACGACGCCCTACTCAGAGCGCCAAAATCCAGCCTTGCCAGGCGAGAAGGCCGAATTTCATATTGTTGCCTCAAGATTCCGGACAGACGGGAAATTCTTTGTCCCCTGGCGAGCCAGAGCGCTCTTCTTATTGTTGGCCGGGCCTTAGCTTGACGGCATGATTTTTAAGCCCAGTACGTCACGGATGATAATCCAAAGGGTGAAAAAAAAAAAAGAAAAACTCCCCGCGCCATGGGTATTGTGTTCAAGATGTTGTTTGATTAACTCCGTATCATCACAGTGACTAATTCGGTGCGCAAGGCGGCATCATGGTTACCCATGCAGTGCCGGTCGAGGCTAGGGAGCAATACTTCAGCGCAGAGAAGTACGTACTCTTTGTATCTCGGAGAAGCTAAAAAATGCCCAAACTGTCCATAGTTCGGAGTAAGTTGATCCTTCAAGAAACGATCATGATCCTTGGCTTCTGGATTCCCTTTCTATCATTTTTGTCTGGGTTGGACCGTATTTGAAGCCTGTGGGAATGAATCGCGTTACTGGGATTGGTCGATGACAACAGTCCAGATGCATGTCAGGGGTTGCAAGGCTGGCCGTCAGGGCGTGGAGTTTATCTCCACCAGTGGAGAGAGCGGCCTCGTGCTACCATACATTGGCTGTCTCCTCCCATTACCATTATATCTCCTGGATAGCAATATACACAAGGAGGTTGTGCTGATAGTTGTATATCAGACCTGTGGTGCTGTTCTTGTTTCTTTCTTCCATTTCCGTTTCCTTTTCCGAGTACCTCGCTCGTTGCCCAAAAGTCTCCACTGGCTCCTCTCCTTCAACAGTCCTTGATGGTCTAGTGGTCATGATTTCCGCTTGTCAATTCTCGATTAGAGAATAACAAGCGCGGGAGACCGGGGTTCGATTCCCCGTCAGGGAGTTCTTTTTTTTTTTCTCGTCGTTACCTGTTCTTTTATGTTTCTCTGTCGTTGTGAAGTAGGTAGTTAATAGATAGAGACGAGAACTTTGTGATTACTTGTGTGGTGATAAGGCACCATTGTAAAATATAGTCTATCTATCACCCGGTTATAGGACAAATGTTCTCCGTGCCAGTGCATGCACCCAACATTATGATACAGTATTTTATTTATACAGATCGCTGCAGTCATGAGATAACAACCAGTTTGGTTCCATCTCTTGTTATATGATGTTCAAGATATAAGTCGATCACATCATTCTGTGTTTCTCTTCCATTGGATATCGGTATTGGGAGACTCTGCCTTCAATTCATCACTTTTATCCGCACCGAATCCGAGAAGTTGGCCCAGGATACCCTTTGGCTTTGGTACTGGACACTCCCGCGCAGTTTTCTCAAGTTCTTTCGCCTCAGCTTCCATATACCTGAACTGCGCCGCTTGTTCTCGTAGTTCCTGCCCAACTGTGGGTGTCTGACTTATGATGTTCGTGGTTGTAGAACCGAGCAACGACTGCCCAGCCAATTGATCTGACGGTGATGACGCCTCGTCGCCGGCAGGAATGGGATCTTTCCGTCTTCTCTTCCGCCTTATCTGCTGTCCATCTGCGGTCACTATGATCTCTGAATCGGCCAATGCTCGTCGTGGCGCGGGGCATGGAAAGACGTGTGGTACGCCGACTATTAGAAGAGATGCGAGGAGCGTTGCTGTGAAGAGGGACATGGTCGACCGCGACCGCGGATGGAGGTGTGACGACATTGTCAGTTTAGAGGGATAGGAAGAGCGTAGTAGGCACTGTTATATTTTCGTATATGTCTTCGAATGCTCCATACTCTTCTCGCGTTGAGGTGCCGTGGATGTTCCGTCCTGAAGGTGTCCTGCACCACTCAATTGCGAAGGTAGCGCGATTAACCACTCGGTGGAGGCCTGGATAATTAGCCAGGCGTATCTAGATGGCCATATAGGTCCTATTGACGGGACAATGGCAGATGGCTGGGTGTTCAATATGGCAAGGAGGCCTTTCAAGTTGACTTTTCTCTCCAGCCAACCAAAATCCGCCTAAAGTGAGCAACTGTCACGTGATTAAATTATGGCTTCAGGGCGGCTTTTGGGTCTCAAAAAGCCCTTTTGATGGAATATAAAAGAAGATGGGGAACCATGATGATGCGAAGGAGAGATAATATCAATTCATTATTGCGATGTGTGTGCAAGCGAGCGCGAGACTTCTTGGTTTTGCCTACTTTATGGTGAACAGTGGACTTTCCCTGGGGTGCAAATGTAAGTGCATTCCGCCTCAAAAAAGACATTCACTCCCTTGGCGGACGCCCGATAGAGAGTACTCCGTACGAGTAGCTAACCGCGGAGCCAGCGTCTTATGCATCGCGCATCGAGAGCAGAAGCGTGTCAGGCTGGCCTGTTGATCCCTTAAGCGGCGCTTGGTAAGTTTGCTAGAGAACCTTGATCTTATCTTATCAATCGCGCCAGCCGCCTGCTGCCCAGGTGACTAACGCCTAAAATAGTTTGCTAGCTAAACCACGGATCCCAAACCAGCCTCGCGTTTTTCTTCGCGCCACTGATGCTGCGTAACTGGCCTGTCTACCCCAGATCAACCAGCAGATGCACATTCCCTGCATTCCGTGCCAATTTAGGTTCCATCAGCTTCGTGTGCGTACCGAGAATCCGTTTATCCCGTTTCCCTGCGATAGAAAGATGAAGTCCACGGCTCTCCCAACATAGCATAACTTAAGTCCTGAAACCACCCCCTCGTGATACCATCACCCACTCCTTACGGGGCACAAGAGTCGCAGACGAGGACCGGAAAAGTCTTCAGCGCTAGGGAAGCTGTCAGAATAGTAGACGCCGTTGGAAAGTCACACGGGGGTGTTTGTGCGGTTTTCGCCTGACAGATGAGCGACCTAGACAAGTATATCAGCCTTTTATCCCCTCCCCTACCACCCTGTTCGCCTCCACTGACTTTGCCTTTCTCTCTTCTCTTCCAGGGCCATTGCGCAGCTGCGCTCCTGTCGTCCTATCCCCGAACACCAAGTGCGAGAACTCTGCTACAAAGCTAGAGAGATATTAATTGAAGAGGGAAATGTTGTTTCAGTTGATGCACCTGTCACCATCTGCGGGGATATACATGGCCAATTCCATGATTTAATGGAACTTTTTCGGGTTGGAGGCGACGTGCCCGATACCAACTACCTGTTCATGGGCGACTTTGTCGACCGTGGCTTCTACTCTCTCGAATCTTTCCTCCTCCTACTCTGCCTCAAGGTTCGATACCCAGACCGCATGACGCTCATCCGGGGTAACCATGAATCGAGACAAATCACGACCGTGTACGGATTTTACGATGAATGTATTAGAAAATATGGCAACGCCAATGTCTGGCGGTACTGTTGTGAGGTATTTGATTATTTAGCGTTGGGTGCCTTGGTTTTGGGAGCAAGCACAGAGTTATCACCGTCGGGTCCAGTTGTGACCCAGGCTGGCGCTGGGGGAGAACAACAAGATACCCAGTCGTCTGCCAATTCGGCTGTAGAGGATGACGATGAGCTGGAGATTGAAGTGTTGAATTCAAAGGGTGAAGTTACTTTAGCCTCTTACCGGAAGACGAATCGGGGATCCAATAGTATTGCACATGATATCAGAGACGTCTCGCCGCCAAGAGACATATCATCCGCTCCTAGCAACACACCTACCCGTACTGGGCCTGCGGGAACTGGTGCTACAGGAGACAGCCTGGGCAGTATATCAAGCAATACCGGGGCAGTTCTCTGTGTCCATGGTGGCCTTTCACCTCTGGTGGATAGTGTTGATAAAATCCGGCTCATTGATCGGAAACAGGAGGTTCCTCACGAAGGTGCCATGTGTGATCTTCTCTGGTCAGACCCAGACGAAATTGAAGGGTGGGGGCTAAGTCCTCGTGGAGCCGGCTTTTTATTCGGAGCAGACATTGTTAAGCACTTCAGCTACAAGAACGATCTATCACTCATTGCGCGCGCTCATCAACTTGTCATGGAAGGGTTTAAAGAGATGTTTGACGGCGGCATCGTCACTGTCTGGTCTGCCCCCAATTACTGTTATAGATGTGGCAATGTTGCTGCTATACTTGAGCTAGGCGAAGATGCAAGTAATGGAGGCACCATTGCACGGAGTAATGGTGATTATGGGCGCAGCCTCGGTGGCCGGGCCGGGATGCTTGATGCAAAGAGGGTTCCTGGCCCAGGGCGACGGTACAGGGTGTTTGATGCTGCTCCTCAGGATACCCGTGGAATGCCTGCTAAAAAACCTGTTGCGGATTACTTCTTGGTATGAATACGTTTTATTATTATCCAACTTTGAATTTTAGAGACCACTGGCTAACATACATATTCTTATGCTGGATAGTGATTGATACCTTTTTCTATCAATTACATTAATACAGCCTGTTTTTTTAGCGTTTATAGTTTTAAAGGAGCATGTTGATTAACTAATGAACTCATCGCCTCAGAGTACACCATGTAAAATAAATACGCAAAGGTAATGCTGAGCTGCCATTTATCTATAAGACGCGGTCTTACCATTTTATCCAAATTGATAATGCATTAGAAATAACATGCTGCCGGCAACTTGTGAAATATTCTCAATATGGTGAAAACCAGATAAAAGGACTTGCGCCAGTATTTTAATGGACAGAAGATAACCACCCTTATCAAGAACTCCTAGCTATGTCATAGATAATGGACATAATCCGGCCAGTGGCACCGTACTGATGATAACATATGGCAGTAACGAGGAAAAGTAGCCACAGAATCCCCTACGTGGAATATCACGAGGAAGAGAAAAATAGCGAATAGGCTATACGAAGAAAAAGTGGGAGAGAAAGCACATGCCAATGGAGCAGATAGGGGTATAGATGCTAAGAACCCAGCTCGGGGTATATGTTGTATATATTGAAAAAGCTATATGTGCGACAGCAGGTAAAACCATAATGATGCCCTCATGAAATTCAGATCATCAAACCACCAACGGTTAGTAGAACATGTCGCCTTGCTCAGAATACTCCCCGTCACCTCGTTGAGGCATGTAGTTGGCGATATTCGGGTGGGTGGGGTTACTATGAGCTGCGAGGAATTCCGTGTTGAAGTTTCCGGCAGAAGTGATTGGACGAGAGAGACCAAGAGCCGCCGCAGTAGGGAGGAGGCCTTCAATATGCATGGGTTGTTGGCCGTGGTTAGTGTAAGGTTCAGTGGCCTGTATTGAGGGGCCAGAGTTGCTGGCTGAGGTTGGAAAATCCATAGTGTTACCAGGGCCTTCATTTGGAGTGCCCCAGTTGCTAGACCAGTTATCCATACCTAGAGCGAGGGCGTTCTGATCTTTCAGCCACCAGTTTTGGCTGGCTTGGAGTAGCTTGTCGGAATCTATAAACGTTGGTGATTGGGGGAGCGCCATAGGGAGATCATCGCCAAGGGTTGGGGTAGAGTTCATCGGGGGTTGTGGTATTGTTGATAGCTTCTGCTTAGCTAGGGATTCGTTACTTTTCGAGGGCATTGCGTCTTCTGCACGGCATTGCTCCCTAGAAACAGATGGTGGAAGCTGAGTAACTTCGTCTGGATGAGGAACCTGAACTGGCGTTGGATATAGGGGAGTGCGGGAGGTAGTTTGAGCATTCACTACTGCGGGCATTTTTGACGGTTTGGCTGGTTCAGATGTAGGGGCATGCGTTGCTTGTTCTGGCAAGTGAATACGGTCATGTTGTTTTGGTGATGCCCCTGATGATGAAGGTGACTGCATTTGTTCCCAAGAACTGGTGGACCCGAATCTGGCACGAGACCGCTCAATGACAGCTACTGCTTCCTCTGGAAGTTCGACTTTCCACCTCTTCGATAGTAGGTCTAAGATCCGTAGAGTTCTTCGTGCACATAGCCAACTTTCAGCAATCTCTTCCAAGTGTTTGAGTCCATGTGCAATGTCCCGTTTGGCGGACTTGTCTGGAAGGTTAAGGAGATGAATGGTGCATGCAGAATGGGCGATGTATACTGCAAGGTTGCAGATCTGCCGTAATCCGTACGTGCGCTTGTATAAGCGTAACAGCTTTGAGATAACAGAGGCTCCTTGGGTGCATAGTTTCCTAGGAGAAACATGAGCTGGTAATGGGGAGGTGGACTTCGTGTATTTCAAAAACGGACGGTAAAGATGTATGAATAGTAATTGGAAGAACATGCTATTGGGGCGGTTAGCAAATGGGTGGAGTAAAAAAAGGATTCGGAAGATTGTGGATCAAAACATACTGCATAAGAAGAACTTGGGGTAATTGGCCATCTTTGGGCTCCATTTCTGGTGGTAGTGCTTTACGCCATGCCTCCAAACGGGTGTGAAGTTGGGTTAGCCGCCTCAGTTCCTCTTGCTTAGCAATTTGCTTTGATGGTGCCGTATTGTAAAATGCAGCTAGCAAGTCATTGCTGATTTCGCAAAGTTTGGATATTTGCAGTGCTACAGCCCTTGTCCGTGAAGGCTGGCTATAATCATCTGAAACGCCAGAATCCGTATATGGTGACCAGATTTCTGAGTCTTCCTTGGGGAAAACATCGAACTTTGGAACGGTGATATGAGACCCAGACAACTGTGGTTGGCGTCCGAGATAGTTGGACCAGCACCTGCTTATGTTAATGCATGCTCTCTCATGAAAGGGCAATACACAGGGGTTTTTGTAGAAGAAAAGAACATACTTATCAAATAAGAAACAGCCCCAGAATGTAATTCTGCGAGCATCAATGTCCTCCGCTGAAAGGTTGTATGAGCCCATACCAGCTGAATCCACATTTAACCCAAGGTCATAGGCCATACGGAAGCTCATTCCGCTGTAAACCCATCCAGAGCCCTCTCGGCCACAACCAGCCTCTCTCACTGACATAATGGCAAGAGCTTGTACTGTGCATAGCTTTGCTTTCGTATGTTCATCGTTGTCTAGGATCAGCCGTTTTGCTTCCTTAAAAAAGTGGTCTCCAGAGGTGGATGAGTCGTTAGGGTCCTCTCGAGAGGCTGGCCAGGCACTGAAATGACATCCTAGTGCTAGCATTGCATTGACAAGCAGTGCAGAACAATACTGGCTTGAACGCCCCAACATGAAATCACGGTAAAACAGCTCCTTGGACAAAGTTGTGAAATAGGCATAATGCCATGTGAAATACATGGTAAGGAGGTGCCGAATAAGCTCCTTGTTTTCCGTTACAGTAGTCCAAGAGCTGATGTAGTCCTGTTGATCCGGCCGGTCCACAGAGGATTCTGCTTCTGAGTATAGTTCATCGTCTTCTGAGAGCTCAGGCAGGAATATCAAGTTTGATGTCCCTCCTACATATTTCACGGCACCATCAAGCCTCAGTTCACTTACCTTGCCGATAAGTTCAGACTCAAACTGGGGAACGTCACTGAAGGGGGACTCTGCTCCAGTAGACACAGTTTTATTATCATTTGCTGCAGACCCCAGCTGCTTTTGTCGTTTCAATATGGATTCTGCAACCACTTCGAGGTCTTCCGCAGCCCGTATCTGCCGCACGAGATCGGGGACATCATCTTCATCGTATGTAAGGATCGCTTGCACCAACGTCTGTAGAGTGGTATTGCGGTTCCTAAGGTTGTCTATGTCCTGTTTATACACTCCTTTGCGCCGGTGGTCCGAATTTGGATCATATACACCTTCAATATTTAAGAGATGTCAATCAATAACCGTAGATAAACGGTCCTGTGAAGGAAAATGCGTACATGGAGTATGGTAGACCGAAGAGCAAGCGGCACAGCTGGGAGTGTTTCCGTCACACTGTTAATGGCCGAACGATAAAGCGCAGGTTAGTATATCGAGCTTCTCCATGAAGTGATGCTCAGTGGCCAAGAATGATAGACAGACCTTAGACTTCCGCTTGCGGCAAGCAATGCATGCTGTCGACACACACCGTCTCTTGACCGGAGGAGTATTGTCGTCTTTATCCTTCTTCTCCTTCTCCTTGCCCTTCCCTCTCTTCGCCTTCGCTGTCTGTTGCTGCTGAGGTTGCGGCGCCGACGCCTCTGCCGTCCCCTCCGCAGCAGCGTCTTCCGCCATTTCAAATGACCGCCTGAACGGAGTCTATTATCCAGCCGACTGACCCAGGGGGATAAGGAAGAAACGGAACTGAAGGGATTACAACTCTCGCTGAGAGATGATTCGAAAGAAGAGGTGGAATTTGGTTCTAAATAACGACGTCAAGGCACGGCGCGTGAGGGACGAGGAACATAGTTAAACGCAGTCAACTAATCTAGTTATCAGGCCGGGACAGTTCGACTACAAGCGACCTCCGTCGACGTCAGCATTCGCAGCAGAGGTGAAAAGAGAAGGCCATCCAGCAGTGGTGAAAGAGCAGAGGAGCAGGTCAGACTCTGGTCGCAAGATGGGGAGAGTCTCTTATATTCCAAATAACATCCTGGCACAGAAACTCACATTCAATCTGAGTCCGCCAGCAATTGGCTACCGGAGACGAGGCCAAGCGAAAAGCAAAGCCTGCCAGCCTGTCAAGAATGGCACACACACACTGGGGGGTAGAATGGAAGAGGGGAGGAAGAAGACGCAGCGCAAGAGGAACGGATAACTATATATGCTATATCAGCGGACCCTTTATATGGGATGGGGGAAGCAAGACCGCCGGGTGGATTAGGGTCGATGCGAGAGCAACAACGCCACCTCGACTACTGCGGCTTCGCACGAATGAGCAGCCAAAGACGGCCCTTTGTCGAGTTTGCTATAACTATAAGAGGTGAAGCACGAGTCCCTGAGCTTTCTTGGGAATAGCCCGGCGTAGGTTGTTACGCTCCGCCAGGGCCAGGTTCTGCGCTCCTCTCAGACGAACGCTGGTCGATATCAAAAGCGCAGCCCAACCGACGAACCGGACAGGTCAGTTACATGCAACCCCATCGCTACATCAGACATCTCCGAGGGCTGGGCAGGGTTAGAGGAGGAAGGCAGTGGCCCGTTTGCGAGGCTGTCTTGGGTTTTTGGAACTAACTTAACTATCTTTTCCCCCAGACGCCAGGGTGTCCGAGAATACGGCGGCCCAGGATATGGCTCTGCAGCTGGACGGTAGCCAATCACCAGGTGCACTATTGCTATTCTTTGCAGCTACGGAAGATCAGGAGTATGCGGAAGGGATGCAGGGGCTCGGTTATATGGAGAAACAATGATATCAGACCCTCAAGCGCTCCACGATGGCCATCGACGACGGTCTCATGCCAAGCAGTTAAATAAGTACTTCCCACACATATACAGACGTGATGGTAATTACTGTCGCTATAGAAAAGGAGTAACCAAGTTACCGGAGAAAGAGAGAGAGACGCAGCGGAAGACGCCTTTGTTACTGACATCCAGCATAAATAATGATTACTATTATCTCGGTCCCTAATGGGTGAGCCGGTCTGGGCAGTCAGGGGGCAAGCGACTAGTTCAGTGAAACGGGCTGGGCAACCACTGCGAGCAGCCAATTTTACATTATTTCCTCTCATCAATATCATATCATCGTTATAATAATCTATATTTTAGCGACTGATTCCAAGTCTTGTGTGATTGAACAACTCATAATTCAGATCCAACGGCTCACTTAGGCGCAAAAAATCCTACGGAGACCTAGTTAGCACAGTCCTGTCAGGGCAGCGACCAGCACGGGATACTTACGCTCTTCATCAACCAGTGTCTTTTCTTTCCAACATTCTTCTATCCACTGAACAGTCACAAAGTGAGGAATGGGCCGTCGAGATGCAAATCCTGATCTCAGAGCAGAATAGCTTTTGGCCTTTCCAGTCTCTGGATCCCTGTCTTCTGATGGATCAACAATAACGTGGGTGATGCGATTGTTCGTCTGGTCGTCAACCACGGTGGCCCCTGTAAAAATGACCGTGTTTCGAGCCAGCTGCTGACGTATCGACAGCCTTTCGATACAGGGCCTGCCCGGGGCGCTGGGCGGCTGGTTGCAGGGGACAAAGAACATTGTCAAGTCTTTAAACAGCCACCCCGCGACAAAATTATCGGCGGAGCCTTGATCTCGATCCAGGGAGAGGTCAGACATGATATCAAGCCTATCTTCTTCAGATATATCATCTGATGCCAAGTTCATCTTTTGTAGAATCTACCTAAATGTTAGCATTGTCGAAAAAAAATCAACGTTATATCTTATGATGATAGTTACCGCTGTAAGCTCTGGGATAGTGGTATTTCTGGCAAAGCTGTCGTCATATCTGTCGACATTTTTGCTGATTTCCTCCTTTTGGTCTTCTTTGGTGAAGAACATATGCCTGTTCATGTATTTAGTAACACTGACTCCTAAAATAATGAGCAATTTAAAACAACTTACCGTGGCTCTAGAGGGAGTAGAACGTCATCTTCCCCGGTATCAAGTTCATTTTGTTCGATGCAGTCAAAAATCCAGGAGGGTCGGATGACATTCTCAAGGGCAGACTTCTGCAACGACGCTACTTTTACGGTTCCTTTGGCCGCATTAGCATTGGTAAGATATCGAGTGACAAAAGGTGCTTAACATACTTCTGTCCGCGATGCAGTAGGTGTTCTTTGATGCAGTGTTTGTTTGATATATCTTTCCTCCATTCGCCTTAATTAGCTGTTCCAGATCAGCTTTTGATTTCTTCGTTGGCTTCAAAGACTCGGACATCACAACTATAGGAGTGTCAGCAAGATTCATCCTAGGACGCTGCATTCCCGAACTCACAGAATGAAAGCCCATCAAAAATATGGGCTTTCCCACCAACGTATGCGACCTTTGCCTCGCCAGAGCCAGCAATGATTAGTTCTTTCTTTTTACTCCGTTTGGCTTTCTTCCCGCGGGATTCCACTTGAAATTCATTGTCCTTCTTCTCTTGCTCAGCACCGGCCTTTAGGTCCATGAATTCCTGAACAGACAATGCACTCTGCCAGTCCTTATCCATCCTTAACCGCTTAAAGCGAGGAAATCGAACTGTTAGCCCCAGCCTAAACTGATCACTAGGTGTAACAGCTGCTGCCTTAACGCATACGACGACCGAGTCATCAGGCTTAATCCATACATCTGGCCGTTCATGCTGTGCATCGCAACCCGCAAGTTCTATGTATTCAGTAGGCGGCTTTTTGGGATTCCAATCATGCCACTTGCCATCGGTATGGTGACGAATATTTGCATAATCCGCTGCTGTGAATCCTCCTCCGACTTTGCAGAAGGAATAACATTTCATCGGATTAGCCCCATCCTGGGCATCAACCCTCAGGCCGCAAAGGTAACTAGAGATATTTCCGCCTCTTTTACCAGAGCCATAGTAACCACCCACAACAATACAGTCCATAGATTCTCCAAATTCAGTCATGTAGTCTGGTTTCACTTTCATCCAGTCATCGTTGCGCTCGTTGAGTCGATATGGGGAGTTTGGGTTCTTCAAAACAAGGCCCTCAGACGCCTCTGCTACTACTTTCCGAAGTAAAGGTTCAATATCACTCGCACTTGTGCCAACGTCATAGGGGTGAATTTCAAAGCGTCGGTGAACTGGAACCACACTTGCTTCTAGTGCTCGGCGCCTATCCCGAAGGGTGTATCTTGTCAGGGGCTTACCGTTGAGATACACGATATCAAATATCCTGAATAGGGGACGATGACCAGTTGCAGAAAACGGATTTCGCTGCTCTGATAAAGCTGCCGTCTTTAACGTACCAAATGGTACAGGTGCATCCTGTTCCGGATCCCAGGTAATCATCTCTCCATCAAGAATAATACTTTCAACTCCGTCCGCAAAGGCATTCTGCAGATGCCTTGTTAAAGATCCACTTTCGTCATAGAACCCATTTCCATATAGGTACGTGTAATCCTTGGCCTTTCTTGACCAAAATTCGAATCTCTTTCCACCTGGTATAGAGCTGTTCGTCTCCATATGAAGCTGCATGCGTTCACCATCGAGTTTTTCTTCAATCCAGAATTGAGGATCATCTTCAGCTAACCTCATCCTTTCAATCATCTTTTGAAAAGAGTGCATTTGGAATTGAGCGAGCTGTGGTTGGAAGCATTGCATAAGAGTAACGCGGGCTTCATCCGCGTCAAGGCGAATGCTTGGTAGGTATAATTCCCAGCATACTCGACGAAGGCTACTAGAAATATTGAAAAGGCTCTCGGCATCTGGATGCCAGATTTCAAAAAATGTTCGCTCGGTAGCACCGACCTTCATTTGTCGTAGAATAATCCTTATCAGCCACATCATCTCTTCGGGGTTCATCCGCCGATAAAATTCGGCAAGGATGGGTTGCTGTTCATCCTCCTTAGAAGCGGCAGCCAAGTCATCAAGTCGGGAGTTAACTTCAGCAATTGACATGTCACCCACTTCCATTCTAATTGGTCTCTTGGAGATGACTTCGAAGCAGCGGCCAGCAAAGTCTCCGGCCATTGCAGTTGCTGCCCTTTGTCCAGGAAGTTTCCAATTCAAAAGATTATAGCCATCTTCGGAATTTTTGTCAATTTTCATGACTTTGACAAGCAGTTTGCCAATAGCCTTTTCTTTCAATCCATACATAGCACGATCACGGTCTTTCTCGGGGACAATAAGTCGGAATGCCGGGAAAAAGTCATTGCCGACTTGCTGTCGCCATCGAGAAATAAAGCGTTCAATCACATTACGACGTAACTCATGCGGTGAGAGGTTGTTGCGCCCATGGGGCCCTGCCTTCCTTCGAGCTGCTGGAGGCCCTGCAGGTTTCTTTTTGAGGTCGTTGAGAGGGTTGAATAGCGATATGAACAAGTCATGAAAAGGAAGAGTCTGTCCGTGATTACGTGGCCTATTTGGGTATCTGGCACATGGCTAAATTAGTATCATCGACTCTTCAATGTTCCGGCTTAAAGGACATCATACTTCTCGTCAAGCTCCCTTTCAGTCTCCCGAGTGACACCAGCTGGGTTTAGCTCCATAATATATCAGGGTATCTAAGTAGGCAAAATATATACGCAAAATGAAACAGAATGGACTTGATACAACTACTCTTCTGGCTGATTATGTCCAGAAGCAATGGATGTTTGGAGCGTCTTCTTAACGCGAGATATTGGAGGCTCTTTGGAATTTAGGCAGACACGAACGGCACGCCTTTACACGTGACCTGACGTCATCGCTAAAAATAACAAATTTCCACGCATTCAAGGGGCCGATTAACACAGTGGACGTTGACAACCACCTGAGTGTAACAACATTCGACGGCCAGATTCATTTTTCTCTCCCAATGGATACTAAGAAACTGCGGGATATAGCTACTGATAGGTGTGAAACAGTTGAGATGCTGAATGTGCTACTGGATCTAAAACACGAAAATATCAAACTATGACCAGTGTCCCCATCTCCAAATCAAAAATTGAAACGCCATATAAATAGTGCAAATCAGCATCAGTCCTGCACATTGTCTATAAATGAGGGATCTTTTATACTGCCGCCAGCGTCATTCAAGCCTGCGACGGGCCGGTTATAACTGAATCCAGCGAACTGGTTTTGCATCGTTTGAGAAAGAACGGGGTCATCCACAAAGGAGTCCTGGGCTGGTTCGGATGTGAATTGCACATCGAAGTTGGCGGTATCAAGAGCGTCCACCTGTGATCAATAGTTAGATTTGTTCCTTTGTGGCAGGGTGAAACTGAAGGGTAAAGTAGAACTTACAACGTTGGGTTTGAAAGCAGGTTCATATTTGCGCTGCAGCAACTTTCTCCAGTCAATTGCATGGAAGAACGGGTGAGCCTTGATTTCAGCCGAGCCATTGGCTCCAAGTCGCTCAGAGGGTTCTCGGTTGAGAAGCTTGGTTAGGAGGTCCTTTGCAGTGGCAGGAACAATATCATGGCTTGGGAAGGTGAGAGGATCAGACAAGATCTTTCGGTACATCTCATTCGTATCCTCGGCATAGAAAGGTGGAAGACCAGTAAGCATCTCATACAATAAGACGCCTAGAGTCCACCAATCGACGGTCTTGTTGTATCCGTGGCCAGTGAGGAGCTCAGGAGCCAAATATTCAGGAGTTCCGCAGAAAGTGTGTGTCTCATCTTCATCTTTCATCTCAAGCTTACAGAGTCCGAAGTCACAGAGGGCAATGTGGCCTTGGTAGTCCAAAAGGATGTTCTCAGGCTTCAAATCACGGTAGATGACGTTGAAGCCGTGAAGACATTCCAGAGCACACAACAGCTCAGCAGTATAGAAGCGAGAACGGTTAATATCAAAACGCTGCTCCTTGGTTAGGTGGTAGAACAATTCTCCTCCGTTGACAAAGGCCAAAATGAAATAGAGCTTTTCGGGGGATTGGAAGGTAAATTTAAGGGGAACGATAAAGGGGTTGTTTATCTGGGCAAGAACCGAACGTTCAGCAAGCGTATGAGTCACTTCCTGGCGGGATATGATCTTTGCTTTCCGGATAATCTTCATGGCGTAAATACGATGGGTATCTTTCTTTCGAACCTGCATGACTTTACCAAAACTGCCCTTTCCGACGACCTTGAGCAGTTCAAAGTCGTCAACGTTAAGCTTATTGGCCTGGGTTTCGACATACTCCCAGCCGATCTGAAGTTTGCCAGTACCGTATTGCAAGTCAATCCATTCAACCTCACGGTAAGGCCCATCGAACTGGGGGCTAATATGCGCAACACCTAAAAAGATATCCTGACTCCGGCCAGATCCTGGTGCAGCATTGGGGTTTCGAAGGTACATATGAACTGTGAGCTGGGCAACACGCGAAACATCAAACTTGTACTGAGTGCTGGAGCCGGCCCAAACGGGGTTCTCAGGACTACCGTCTATGGAATTGATGAAAACCTGGAGTTTGTCAAAATCTACCAGTGCGTATGGCATATATTTCCGAGATATTCTTCCGTGGTTCGTAGGAATGCCTGTGAAGCCGCCTCCGGACGTCTGTGGTCTGGTAGAGCCATTTCCCCGGCCTACAGCGAGTGAGTTCTGCTGAGTAGTGGCTGCCACACCTCCGGTGCTGCTGTTGGTGCGGTGGTGCGAAGCAAAGGCCTCTCGATACTGCTCCGGCAGGGAAAATCCACGGCCTTCATAGAGAGTGACGACTAAGATGCCTGGTTTCGATGTGTTTGTATCCGGAGCCGAGCCGTTTTCCTTTGCAGAGCTGGCACTGCTCACCGTGGGCGTTGTGGGAGTATCTTTATCCTTACTCGACGCTAGGGAGCTGGAGAGGTTGGAGAGGGCGCTCAGATGGGTCTCTTTCAGCTCTAAAAGGCCAGCGGGTTAGCATCGTCAGCAAGGACGGGGGGGACTGCTCCCGCATACTCTTTGTGATATTCCAGGACATCTTGCAAGTAGGATTTCTTCAGAGTGTTAGATACGGGGTGATTTGGTTGTTGTTGGTTGTTTGGTGATGTTGAAACCCCAAGATTTGCCCTTCTGCTCGCTCTGCTCCGGCTCTCCACCATATATTTATTGAATAAATAGTAATCTTTAACTAGCTGCCCTTGCCGAACCCCCACTTATTTAACTAAGTCAAAACGCCAAAGAGAGACAAGGGAAGAAAAAAAGGGGGAAAAGACGAAGCCGAAGTCTTTGCTTTGGCGCTGTTCTTTTTTCTTCCCCAACGAGTCGTTCAGGAGAAACAGACGAAGACAAGGCGTCTGGCTAAGGGATCGCCGACTAGTTAACCAGTTAATCAGCGACGGACCGATGGTTGTTTATTTATATCTACACTGGCTGCTGAGTCTCCGCTACATGTGCATCCCTACGAGATGGCAAGTTGCCATCACGCTGGTGGTGGCAAAACCGCGTCAATATTAAAAGCGAATGCGATGGTAAGAATACTTATGATGGCATGTCGATAGGTTTATTTGTTGGGATACCTGGTCCATCGCCGTTGAAGTTTTAGAACTGGTATCTTGAATAACTGCTAGTCACGGAGTACAGACACGGTAACTACGTTGGGCGAAAGAGAGCCGGGTGAGAATCAAGTCATCATGCTCAGCCACAAGTTCGTACCCAATATGATACCTTTGGTTTCTCTCTACCCAAAGAAATTTGAACCGTTGGTGCCCTTCACCAGGCACGTTAGCACTGCATGTTCCCGATGGAAGGATGGCGGGAAATTAGTGATACGTACCCTATGACAAACCGTGTTTCCCCTTAAATAATGGTTCAACCAGGAATTTGGGCGACATCTAGCTCGTGGTGTATCCTATGGATCTCCATTGGGGGTTCAACGACTTCCCCCTTTTTCTTGTTCCCAGGTTGCCATGAACAGGCATGAGACTCTACGTTTAAGGATATTTCGGGACTTCTTCTACATGCTTTGAGCCAAGCTCAAGGTCTATATAGAAATTCACCCTTTGATTTACCAACCTAGCGGAAAGCGTGACGGAATTAGGCTCTCCGAATAAGCCCGTAGTACCATGAGGTACTGCTGGAGCTTGAGGTAATCGTTTATGCATCTCGACTCATGTACGACAAGCTATTCTCGAGTATAACTTACATACCTTTATAAGTTTGACACTGGAAGATAGACCCGGGAGTCACTACTACCTACTATACAACAACAGAGGAGGATCTATCTCTATGATACCTGGCAGGTTTATCACACAGACTGTGGGATGCATATGTACTGCTACCATGGCTCCTTTCAGCAGTATGCTTTATGGTATTGGAAGGCATTTGTTTTTGACCGTCTTTCTCAAGGTGCAGCGTGATGCTTCAATTACCAAGCTTCATCCATCATTCAAGTAAAAACTCTTTGGAGTTTTACAACGGACCCAGGGCTGTGTTCAGATTCTGGATAATTATGGCAAGAGCCCGATGTGTTATTCGAGTGGTACGACATCTATGAGAAACATGAGAGTGTTTCCAGACCGACCAGCCAACCAACCTAGTGCCATATAGATTTAGTTTACAACGCCCAGGCCACTACTAGGTTATATCCTACCTTGTCCCTACCCTTTCAATTTGATTTAAGCGGAACCGGGAGTAGTGAATTGCTATATTGACAGGAGGGTTTATTTCATTCACCCAGTGGTTGCATGGTGCGAAATAAGACGGCTCAATTAACCCCATCAATCTGGAGGCTTCACCTCCTGCCTTCAAAGGGCTCTCTATGCCAACACCTAAACAGCTTGATAGGGACGGCATTTGCAGAATCTTGGGAAAGATCTGGATCACTGCTGTTCAAGTGTCATGCAGACGTCCATGAGACATATCGTATTGATAAGTAGCATTGTTGACACCATGCCACCTAGATAATAACGCGAATTCAGAACACACGATCCCTTTTTACCCGCAATACCAGTGATATCCTGCACAAAAACTGCAAATCCAAACTCGGGGAAATGCTCTAGAGATGGAGTAGAGGGTTGAAAAAGAGGCAGGCTCTCAAGCTATAGTGTTTTTGAAGATTGGGTGGTGGCATTGAGAAAAGGTAGACATATCTGACGAGACAAGAGAGAGCGTACGGAGAAGAGATAACAGAAGAAAGAAGATTTATTCATTGACTTCTAAGGTTGATGGTCCTGGGTATATTTCGACTTTTAATGCACATGTCATTGTTATTAGACACGCGCCTAATAGACAGTATATCACCCCTAACGGCTCTTTGACATCGTGGGATAGAATTGGAGTATGCGGAGATTTGACCCGTAGTTTCAATTACTTGTTTAGGAAATTGTTAATCCCAACCTCAACCCCAACTTTCTGACGACATTAACTAACATCTGCAATTCAACGGCTTCAGCGGCTTCAGCAACTTCAAGGAAAACTCCATTTGATCAATTTACGAATAATGGATATTCTCGAATACAAGGCCTTCATAGATGGTTCGTGACTCTATACTATCTGCCTCACTCGCTGGGCCTCCGGTTCAACCCAGCTCTCCAGGCTCATTGGGGGCTAGCTAATTAGTTTAACAGGCTGAAGTACTCCGTACCGTTTGTTGTCATGTCTGGCATCGAAGTAACGAAAAAGCCACAGTGCATTGGACCAGTTTAGCCGTCCAGATCGTTCCGTTATTCTGGACAGATTGGAGATACCACCTCATCCTTTTTCCACCAGACATCGCTGGAACAAGCAATAACTACTCCGTACCCGGATACCAACGCACTCGTAAAGTTATGTGGAGACATTCTTTCTTTTTTTTTCCCGGGAGAAGTCCTGAACTCCTCCTACGCGGGCCGCTTGCTAGCGTTTCATGTATGGGGTAACTCGCTATAGTAAACTTGTTTGCTAGTTGCCTGGCAGAACCAAAGAAAGAAAGAGAAAGGAGCATCTCTTCTTCTTTTGCCAGGTGGTTCCTACTGTCGTGAGCGATAAAATACGTCCGTCAAAAGAGCAAGATTAAGGGATAACGGCTGCACGCTAGAAACCTAATACGGAGGTGGTCTCTGCTTTGTAGAAATCGACCATACAGGCGAGGCGGATTAGCCAGGCTCTCAGCACAGCTTTCAGTCACAGGGATGAGTGTTTGATCAATAGTCAAACTTCGTATACTCCATACGATGCTTGCTTGGTATACCGAGGTTCTTCGATGGCTCATCTCCGCTTTTTGCCTACTGGCTATTCTCTCTATACAGATAGACCGTCCTAATCGTTAGCTATCACGCTCGCGCTACATAGACACTTCGAAGCGGTTCAATACAACACATTGGGCTAAAGCTGCATTGAAAAGGGAAGAAAGGAGATATAGGAAATTTCACCAAGGCCCAACCCCGAAGTAAGTGACTTATACGGGGTAATTATTCCCCCCGGCCCTATTTTTCTTTTCCCATTCAAGTGACAGCTTACTTTTTCCGTTTCCACGCTCATACAGAGCTGACCACATCAACGATTTGATCTTATCGGCCGTTAGGCTTATATATACGGGGGAACATTTTACAGAGTATACCCTTGACCAATGAGCTTAACCCTAAGGATGGCAGCAAGCATATCTGCGCCATCATGAATGTCCGCCCTGAGGGTAACTCACTCAACTCCAACATATCGACCAAAATCTTCATAGTTAGTTAAATATGTACGCCGATGTTTGGGTTCCAACCAACTGCGGGAACATGGATGGCAGGTTGGCCAAGAGATTGATCCCTCTCCACTTAGCTTCTTCACTAACTAACGAGTTAACTACATGAGTGCCTGGTGACCAAGACGTCCATTTTAGCAGAGGGCATAAGGCTTCAAGCGCCGTCTGATCGCCTCCGCAAATAGAGCTGTCATATCACATTGGGAACAGACACTTGGAAGACAAGAGGGAACCGACCTGACAGCTCACCTTTGCTTTTTCCTTCCATCGTCTTCCTTCGCCCCATTTGGTCCCAAGTTCCGACTTCATCTCTTTCTGTCCCTTGGATCAGCTAGATGCACCGAGTTCCAATGGCTTCAAGTCCCGGAGCCGGTCATGGTTCAAATTCAAATTCTGATAATGGGGACGACAAGAAAAAAACAACGAACGTTTCCGCTGCCCTTCAAGGAGCAACTCTGGCATTCGCATCGCAAGCCAGCCAAAAACAGCCACGGAACAGCGGGAGCCCAGAGAGGAGGATACCACAAACCAGGCAGCCAGCGGGGCGAACTATCCATGATGGAGCTCGAAGAGCAGCTCTGATCGCGGACGCCGCTGCAGCCCAAAGTCGAGCCACTACTGATACTGACCGGGGTGGTGATGAACATCTGGTTTCAGCAAGCACTGGAGCAGCAGTGAAAGACAGGATTCAGCTCTTTTCTCATCCAGACAATAGTGGTGGTGGTGGAGGTTCTACCGCAGGAGAAACTCAAGTTCCACAGCTTGCGAAGGCTGTAACCTCGGTCCAGAGCAACGACCAAACGGCCTATGATAGAATAGTGACGCAGCCAAAAATAGGGCCTGAATACCACCCCCAGCGCATTGCAGCTAAACTTGCTGTGGATAGGTCTGCTACTGGACCCAAGGCAAGATCAAGGTCCCCGTCCCGGGCCGCCTCTGTTACCACGATAAGCTCGCCGCGAGCCAGGGAATTTCGAGAGTTAATTACACATGAGGCCCATCGTATCCCAAATTCGCCAGCTAGCCGTGAAGAGGACGACAGTGGTGCCATTATTACGAGCTCAAGGAGGGACAAAGGCAATGCACCTCCAGATCCGGAGGTGACCGATGCAGGAGAGCCCTCAGCTGCACAAAACATGCCAACGCAGCAGAAATATGGAGTCAATACCCCTCCTCTGCTTCCGAATAGGTCAGTAATGACCAGAGATCGATCTTTAACGAAAAATATGGATTCCGAACCTGACCAAGGACCTCTTCCACCACCTCCTCCTCCGCGGCGTGGTAGAGCCCTCACTCCACCTCCAGCTCTACCCCCAAGATCATCTACAGCTCCTCAGCGCAAGGAGAAACCGCCGCCTCCAGCATCACGGCAATCGACTACGACGACATCTTCAATCATCGACAGACCTCTGACCCCTCGTAAACCACTCCCTTCCTTGCCTCAGCACAATCCGCGTCCACATCCACTCCCGCATGCCCGGCCAACACCGCTACAAGCCCAGCATTCTGGGGTTTCTGAGAGTGCCTTGGCCGATGCAATCGCAGCGTCAACACTAGCATCACGACGCACTCCATCACCATCCAAACATCATGGCAATAGCAATAACAACCCTCCTCCGCTACCGCCTAGTCGACGATCAAGGTCTCGCTCGTTTCTTCAGGTTAGCCACAGTGGCAACAGGAGCGACCGCCATGACCGGTCAGGAAAAGGAGACGATGGCCAAAACAACAGGACTCCTAGTCCCAGCAAGACGACGACCATGAAACGGACAATGCGTGCCCCTGCCCTACCTGGGCCGGACTTTGCAGCCGGCGAGAGACACAGAAGCAAGGAACACAGCCGGAAAATCATCCGAACGCACCCGCATAAGCATCGGGAAGGCGATCGCAAGCGTTGGCGTGACAAGGTGACTGCTGCGGAAAGAAAGCGCTACGAAGGGGTATGGGCGGCGAATAAAGGTCTGTTCATCGGTGCGCATGAACAGGTCAATATCAAAGATAGGTCTGTTATCCTCGAGGAGACTGTATTGAGCATAGTTGTCCGGGACATCTGGACTCGGAGCAGACTACCGACCCAGCTGCTGGAACAGATCTGGAATATCGTCAGCCACCATGCATACGGGCTGTTGACTCGGGAGGAATTTGTCGTAGGGATGTGGCTGATCGACCAGTGCCTGAAAGGGCACAAGCTACCTGTCAAGGTATCACAGAGCGTATGGGACAGCGTGCGAGTGGTTTCTTCAGGAGAGTTCAGAGGCCATTAATTAGAGTCTCTGTCTTTCCGTCTTGCCTTGCACTGAGGAAGAGGGGGGGGGGGCGGTAACACCGTTGGGCGTCCCAAGGGCTGCATCGACGAGCAGATTTTACCACGTTCTGGCCAGAGTAAGGGAAGATAAGGGGAGAAGACAAGCCTGGACCGCAAGCAGAGGGCACTGATTGAACCGCTCCCTTGCGGCCAGACCTCACTATTTTACCAGCCACATCACTTAAATCACTAATGCCCGGAAGAAAAAAACGTCAGCATTGAACGTCGGTGCTTTTGCCGTGTGGGGAAGGAAGGGGAGCAAGCAAGCAAGCAGGCAGGAGAAGCCGTCAAGATACACCTACTATTGGGCATCCATCTCCTCTATTCCCATAAGAAGCCACTCACTCACGCCCCCCTTTTTTTATATTTTTGTCTATATGCATCTAAGCTGCCGCCCACCGAACGAAAATATAACTGCAGGGTGCAAAAAAAGCAGCTTTTGCTCTCTCCAGGCTATCTACGGGTCATCCCAGAGTGGCTTGCTCCATCCTCGCCCCCCGGTCACGGTCCCAGGCGCCATCCCCGTCCTCAGGCATGGCAGGGCCCATCTTGCATCTTGCTCCGTAACTAATATAAGCAAAAAAAAGATGTGTTTGGCAACTTGCCAACTGTTAGCGAAGACACCCTCATCCTTGCAGTTTGTAATAATGTCGCAGGTTCGTGAAGCTTATTTGGGCTCTCTTTCGCTCAGCTGCAGCTTCATCCTAGGTTTTCTTTTCCTCTCTTCTCATCAGTTTTTTTTCGTATTGACGTATGAGCTAACTAGCCAGGCATGTTTTCTTCTTTTTCTTGTGTGCACGATCGCTCAAGAGATCGAGCAGTCGTAGCTTATATAGTTGCATGTATACATGTCCCTGCGGGCAAAAAGCAGGTAGCACAGGAGAAGAAACCATATGTACATCAAGTACATATCAAACCAACAACCTAAGGCGGAAAAAGGAACAAGAAGGCTGTATAATGGGAGACAGCAAAAAAGCAATGTATATAGAAGAGAGAGAGAGAGAGAGGAAAAGAAAAGAAGCAACTTAGCTAGTGTTTTGCTCTCTGGGCTTGTCTCTTCGCCTGTCTGTCTGTCTGTAGTTAACTATCATCGCTCTGCCATGTCTTCAACCACCGTCTTGTTGCTTTTTTGCATGTTTTATTTGTAAGGACCAGAGGAATAATATCTGATAGGATAGGGCATCCATTACTTTTATTACAAAAAGCGCAGGAAGGACAGGAGGGAATCCCCCTGAAGAGTCGCTGTCCGTTCCCCGGATCAACCTCGACGTCCATTTCTCTCGTACGGGAGCAAGGGCAACCAACTATCATCGAAACAGCCAAAAGAAACACAGCAACCAACACGGTCAAACGAGTCTTCGGCTCTCTAGCGATACAATCATCATCGTCGTCGCCATCCTCATCCTCATCCTCATCCCCATCTTCACCCTCACTATCGTCACGGGAAGTACAGGGTGTATGCTTGTATAGTCTCCCTCTCCCATCAACTCCGACCCGTTCGACCGGCCAATCCCTCAGCCAACGCAAGCAGAGACAGAGGGACGCTTGTCTTTTCCTCTCTCTCTCTTCTGCTTCTGCCTCTGCTTACTCTTTCTCCTTTCAGGGCTGGCCTGCAAGTAACTGCTTACCTGCACTGCCGGAGTAGTCCGTCCGTCTATCTACTGTCCTGCCGGGCGCACCAGAAGACAGAAAGCGAGACCGAACGAGACAGAGACAGAGCTGGACTCGACTCTTCCTCACGCAGCAACTCCGTAACTACTTCACGACCAGCTGCTGCTTCTGTTACGTGACTTTTACCCCCATGGTGGATATCCTGCTTGCCTGCCTGCTTGCTGCGTGCAGCTTGTCTACCAACCAGCTAATCTAACCAGCCAGTTCAACCAACTTAGCCTCCAGCCTCGTTCCATACATCACATTTTTTTCCCTCTCTCCCTTTAACCATCTTATCTATCCCCTTGTCCCCTTGAGCAAGATATCCGGACAAACTTTTAGCGCCTCTTTAATTTCGAAAGCGCAAAGCCAAGGGGGGGTTGGAAGAAGGGCCGTTTTTTTCATCTTCTCCCTACTCTCTCCCGCCTGCTCGGGCTCTGACATCTGCTGCTGCTTCACCTTCTCCCTTTTTCTTATGGCACATACTGCGACATCACGCCCGCCCGGACAGATGCTATCAGCCGGCACCATGGAAGACGATAGGCGCCAGTCCGCCATTGATAAGCCGTCTATTACCAAAGTAGCCCGGAAGAAGTTCGCAAAGCCACCGGTCAAGGTCGCCTGTCTCTCATGGTATGTCATCTTTTTTTAATGATGCTAGTTTTAAATATAACAACGGCTATTACCCACTTTGGCCGCCCCCCTTTCCCATGCTGTCGCTCCTGGCTGCAGCTCTGGCTCATTTTCTGTTCTCTTCTTCTCCTTTTGATATTCGCGATCCTTGAATTGTTTGAATACTTGAAACTATATCTAACTCGGGGCTGTTCTAGTCGAGCATCAAGAATAAGATGCGATGGAAAGGATCCATGCTCCTGCGTACGTGCAAAACATATATTGCATCAATCAGCTCCAGATTGGCATTCTCCTTTACCCTTCATCTACCTCCTTCCTTCGCTGTATCGTACCACTGTGTATGCGCAGTCGAGCGGGAAATAAGAGAGAGAGAATAGGGGAAGAGAAAGTCCTCCACTGTGAAAGACATAATACCAATTACGCTCAATGTTATCATCTCTAGTGCGCCCTCAAAGGGAAAGAATGCTCCTATCTCCCGAGCAAGCGAGGAGGTCCTCGGAAGAAGAGAGCCGATCCTCCTTCGTCCCTGGGTGATACCATGCAAAGTAGAATCTGGTCTACCGTGCATCCCGTCCCTCGAATAGACGAAGGTTTGTATTACAAGCGGCGTTATAATGCCACACTGTTATAGTCAATATTGGCTGACGTCTGCCAGTCGAGGAA